GGCTGTGGTCGGCGTGTCCCCCCCCATGTCCCCCACCTGCCCTGCGGCTCGGTGCCCCCCACTCGGTGCCTTGAGGGCTGGCCACCATGGCAGGGTGGAGGGCAGAGGAAGGAGCTATGAAAACGCCAGGCCCTGGACGTGGCGGGCACCAGCAGCCCTCCTGGCACGGCCACTGACCCCCCTCTGCTCCCCAGGACCTGGCCATGTATATCAACGAGGTGAAACGGGACAAGGAGACCTTGAAGAAGATCAGCGAGTTCCAGAGTTCGATCGAGAACCTGGTAAGTGTGAGAACCCCGCCTCGACCGCAGAGGCTGACCAGGACCTGCGTCAGGCCCCGGGCTGAGCGCGCGGGAGGCTGTGCACACTGTCCCCACACTGTCCGCGCTGCGAGCCCAGGCTGCCTGGCGAGAGAGTGGTACCCTGCAGCCCCCGAGTCTGGGTGCAAGTCCTGGTGACTGAGCTCCTGTGCCCGCCCCAGCCGACCCTGCCACGGCCAAGGGGCGAGGCCAAAGGGGAAGACGAGGAGGATGTTGATCTCCCCGCCTGGCCCCAGCTGGAGGAACCCCCTCAAGTCCCAAGGAGGCTGCAGCTCGGGGGCATTCAGCTGCTCCTGGCCTGGGCCCCCTTGCATGGTCCCAAGTGGGTGAGGCCCACCAGTGGCTCTCAGTCCCCCTGGACTTCGCAGGGCAGGGCTGATGTTCAGACCCCTCCCACCTTGCCCTGCCACAGTGACTGTCCTCCTCAGGGGGCGTGGGGGGTTCTCCCAGGGAGTGGGCCAGCACCAGCGTCCTGAGGGTCTGCAGGGTAAAGCCCAGGTTTCTTACAACCATGCCATTGGCCCTGGGCCATCGCGGTGGCCTTGCTGTGCATTGTGGGATGTAAAGCAGCAGCCACCCTGGCCTCCACCCACCAGACGCACCCCACCTGACGATGGCCAGCCCTGTCTCAGTGGCCGATGGCCCTGGGCGCGGGACCCTCAGTGTCCACACACACTGGGTCAGCCTCTGACGATTTCAGTGGCACAGACCTTGACTGCAGAGGCCTGAGCTCCTGGGCTCGCTCCCGGAGCCCTTCTGCTCATTCGTCACTCACCTGGGGTCGGAGGAGCCCCAGAGCACCTGGTCAGATGCAGGAGGAACAAGAACAGCACGTGGTCGGAGAGCAGACGGTGCTTCTGAGCAGCGTGCTGGTACCGCCGTTTTCTGCCTCTTCTTTTTCTTAAATTTTTGTCAGAGATCACGTGTACTCACCAGAGAGAGACAGAGAGAGAGAAAGCGCCATCTGCGGTGGTGTAGTCCCTTCTCCACTTTCCCCTTTCAGTGTTTGAGGAATGCACGCACACACGCCTGGTGTATTTCTCAGGACACCAGGTCCGGGACTCGAACCACGTGATCGACATGTGAGATCTAGCACCTTAGCCACCAGGCCAGACTGGCCCGGTTCTCTCTCTTTAGTAAGAAATGGAATGCTCAAGGTCGAGGGGGCTAAGGAAGGATGTGCCCTGACCTGTGGGCGCCCACAGGCCTGGTGCCCGTGTACTTCCCATCAGCGCCACGGCTTTGCTAACGGGGAGAGGAGCACATTCTAGCAATGTCCGTTCTTTTATCACAAGTGTAGGGCCGGCCCCGTGGTGTGGAGGGTAAGGAGCCGGATCCCACTTAGCTGGCTGAGCAGTTCAAATCCTGGCCCTGGAGACTTGAAAAACACACTGGGCTGTGTGCATGTGCGCCTTAAATCCCGACAGGATGGAGAGATGGTGAGGAAGGTTGGGGGTGTTTCCTCCCTCTCCCTCCCTGTCTCTCTCCGGTGAGAGTAAAGCAGTGCAGGTCACCAGTCGTCCAGCCACCCGGAAGCCAGGCCCTGTGCCCAGCAGGCGAAGGTGGTGTCTGTTTCTCGCGCCTGAGAGGTGGGGCGTGAGGCTGGTGTCTGGCGCCAGCCTCACAGCCCCGGGCAGCGCCTGCAGCAGCTGAGAGGGATCATGACACCGTCCATCTCTGCAGCTGGGCGCAGGGACCCTTCCCTCCACTGGGCCCCCTGAGGTCCAGGTGCTGTGTCCGGAGCCACACGAGGGTGTCACGGGGACCTCTCTCCTGAAAACAGGGGAGCCCCGATAGAGAGCACAGATGGAACCCCAGCAGACTGGACCACGGGGCGGGGGCCGTGGTGTCTGAGTGCAGCCTCGCCCTGGCCCTCCGTGAGACCACCCTTTGTTCTCTGTTCGGGTTGGCTTCTGGGCCGGGCCTTGGTCTTTTCCTACCAGGCCCGCTCTGGGACGTGGACAGCTGCGGCCCCTGCCATCAGTCACTCTCTGTCCTTGAGGCTGGAGGGGCATGGGGCCGATGCCTCCAGCCGTTCTTCCCTCTTTCCTCAACACTTCCCCATCCCACACACCCGGCAGGTGCACAGCCCCCACCCCCACTGCCACGCGTGTGTACCCGCCACGTTTACAAAGCCAGGGGGCACGCCCGCTTTGGGCTCAGTCCGTCCGTCCTTTTCTTTCCCAGCAAGTGAAACTGGAGGAGTTTGGGAGGCCAAAGATCGACGGGGAACTGAAAGTCCGGTCCATAGTCAACCACACCAAGCAAGATAGGTGAGCGGGCGTGGCCTGGGGCTGGGTGGCATCCCGTAAGGGTCAGGCGCAGCCCCCAGGGAGCCCGCCCGATCCGCTTCAGAGCAGGCCTTCCTGTGAAAGGAGCTGCCGCCCAGCTGGCTTTGTGTTTTGTGTTTTAATCGCTTCCTTCCTCCTGGCCGAGAGTGCTGGACAGCCATGTCAGCGGGTGGCTGCCACAACCGTGGGTTGCCTGGCCCGTGGCGGGCACTAGGCTGGGCTGGGGTGGAGCCAGAGGCAGCCTTCCAGGCCCTGCCCCTACGGGCTTGCAGTCCCCAAGGCAGCAGGACAGGCTGAGCGAATGGATGATTGTCACCTGGGCGGGTGTTCAGGACGCCTGGGGATGGCCCGGCCTGTGCATGCTGTCCAAAGTCCTCTGCCACCTACCGTGAACTGGGGCTGTACTCACTGCAGATACAGCCCTTTCCCCTCGGGGCTAGGGGAATGGGAACGTGAGCCAGTCGGGACCCTGAGAGGTCAGTGGTGCGAGGACGGCCCCTCTGAAGGCCCCTGACCCAGCCTCGGCTGTAGGCCATGGGCCAAGGAGGGTGTTTAGCTTTCTCTGTTGCTAATAGCAGAAATACCCTAGCCTGGGTGACGTATAAAGAAGAGAAGTCTAGGACCAGCCAGTGGTACGGCGGTTAAGGCAGCTGGATCCCCTGTGACCCACTGCGTGGTTTGAGCCCCAGACCCAGTGGCTTGGAAAACATGCCAGGTGCAAGTGCATGCGCCCTATGGCAAAAACCTCTAAAAAACACTTACGTAGACAAAACATGTCAGGTGTGTGTGTGTGCGTGTGCGCGTGCACCCAAAATCCTGAGAAGGAAACGGAGGAGGGGCTGTGGCATGACCATCCCTCCGGGAGTGGCTTCTCTCTCTCTCTCTCTCTTCCCCTGTCTGCCTATCTCCTGTGAGCACACGTGTCCTATAGCAAACAAAAAAAAGGAAGACAAAGAAGAGTTTATGCAGCTCGTGGTTTGGGAGGGCCCAGGGCAACGGGCTATGCTGGTGGGGTCTGTGTGCTGGGGGGCTCGCCGAGCCCTGAGGCGGTGCAGGCACCCCACAGCCAGACGGCAAGCATGCCTAGGCCAGCGTCCCTGTCTTCACAAAGCCCAGGGCGCAGCTGCAGCCCGCCTTCCCGTCCTCATCCCTGTCCTTACAAACCCAGGGCAGCCGTAGGCCCCCTTGTCCGGTCTCGCCTCCCAGAGGGCTGCCCCAGCCCCACGGTCAGGTCAGGCCCCCTCCTGACATCCCCACAGCTGAGTTTTAAGGTTTTGCCCTAGGGTGCGTGTGCTTTCTGGAGAGAAGCTGGAGAGACGGCGCCAAGTGGTGAACCACCGCCCGGGGCCACTTCCCGCAGCCCTTCGTTCTCCTGGGATTTTAGGCACGCGTGCACATGTGCTTGGCGTGATTTTCAAGACACCGGGTTTGGGGCTCGAATTGCAACTCGAACCGTAGTCGGCCACGTGGGAGTCCAGCACCATAACCACCTAGCCACCTGCTGAGCGCTCTACAGCTGGGTTTTAGCGCAGGCGTGGGGGGAACACACTCAGACACAGGAGGCTTCCTGGAGTAGTAAAGGGGAATGGCCGAACCGGCTCCGAGGGGCAGAGCTGGCCGGGTGGACAGGCATGGGTGGGGCATGCGTGTGCAGGGGAGCGTGTGCAGAGGCCCGGGCGGGTGCCCTCAGGCAGGAGCACACGCGCTCACCGCCCACCGCCCTGGCTGTCCGGCCAGGTACCTGTTCCTGTTCGACAAGGTGGTCATCGTCTGCAAGCGGAAGGGTTACAGCTACGAGCTGAAAGAGATCGTCGAGCTGCTGTTCCACAAGATGTCAGACGACCCCACCAACCACAGGGACGTCAAGAAGGTGGGCCCCACCGGGCAGGGGCAGGGGCAGGGGTCCTGGCGAGGCCCAGTGGAAGTCAGCCATGGCCCTCCTGGCGGGCCGGTGGGCAGCCCTGTGTCTGCTGCTGCAGGCTGCTCTGTGTGGACCCAACACACCCCAGCGTGGGCACAGCCCAGCCCCCAGCCCCCCTGGAGACAGGCAGGAGCAGGTGTTCACTCAGCCTCTAGTAAGGGCTGGGCTTTGCGGCCGAGCTGGAGAAGGCTGAAGGCTGTGGCCATGGCCAGGGCAGGCTGTGGCAGGGGAGCGTGAGAACAGTGGCTAGAGGGCCTGCCTAGGCCTCTGGCTCAGCCCTGCCTCAGCTGTGGTTTCTGCACGCTGCACCCAAGTGCCTACTGTGTGCAGCCCTGGGCTCATGTCAGGCTGGGAAGCAGTGCGGCCTCCAGAGCCCACGGCACAGGGTACAGGCCCAGCACGGGCAGCTGGGAGAGCTCTCGAGGTGAGTCCCTACCCCGATGTCCGAAACGAGTAGCTGGGGCCAGGTGGTCTGAGGCCACTGAAGGAACCGGGCTGAGGACTCGGCCTCCAGGGCCCAACCTGGAGTCTCCCCATCTGGAGGGAAAGCCCATTCCCTGGCCGGCCCAGCCCAGCGAGTGCCAATGGGTGGTGCCCCGCCTGCCCTGGGCCTCCGGTTCCCCAGCTGCAGGCCGCTGCAGGCCGGGGCGGCCCATACTGACCTGTGTCCCCCTTCTCGCTTCCTCTCTCATGCCTCCCAGTCTCACGGGAAGATGGTAAGCACGCGGCTCCTCGTCCTCCCACCTCCCTCCCCCTGTCTGGTACGAGGCCTGTCTCCAAGCCGAGTCTGGGGCCCCAGGAGGCCTGAGGAGGGCCAGGCTCCCGGCTTCCCCCAGGTTTCTTAGTCATGGAAATGCTCTTCCATTCCCATGAGAGGGTGCAAAAGATGCAAACCTTCCACTCCCGCTCCCTGGAGGGGCAGGCTCCAGCTCCTTGCCCTCCTCCAGGGTTCTGTGGTCCCCTTGCACCCATGGGCAGCTTAGCTGAGGGCTCCCAGGCCTGGGGCCACCCCTGCCGTTCTCTCCTGTTGTCACACTGCAGAGAAGCGGCTGGCTTCAGTGTCACACTTAGGAAGGAAAGTGCTGGCCGGTGCTGTGGGAGGGGCCTGGGCCAGGCCCTGGACACATTCCCTGGGTCAGCTCTGGCCGAGCAGCAGAGATAGTGGCCGAGGGCTTGCCTTGGGCTGGGAGGCTGCGTCCTCCAACGTGGGCGGACCCACGCAGCCTGGGATATGCTTGCGTGGGCTCAGGCACGAGTCAGCTCTCCTTGTGCAGATGTGTGTATATCATGTGGGAGCCCATGCACGTGTACACATGCAGGGGTGCGTGCCAGAGCATGCAGGCATGTGCACACAGGTGCATATGTGCACGTGCTCAAGATGACTGTGTATGCACTTAGGCACGTGTGCGGGCACAAGTCACAGCCACATACAGGCGTGTGAGAGCACTGGTGCGCACAGATGAAACTGTGTATGCACATGCTTGCACATGTGAGAAGATGCACACACAGGGACCCATGCACATGCGCACATGTACGGCACAGGCAAGAACACGTGTGCACACATCTGAAAGCGTAGGCATGCACACGTGTGCACGTGCAGCACCAGAAGCGTGCATGTGTGCCTGCCGGTGGTGAGTGAGTGCCTGTGCCCACAGTGGTCCTACGGCTTCTACCTGATCCACCTCCAGGGGAAGCAGGGCTTCCAGTTCTTCTGCAAGACCGAGGACATGAAGAGGAAGTGGATGGAGCAGTTCGAGATGGCCATGTGAGCACGGCGCAGCTGGGCGGGCCTGGCGCCAGGCCTTCCACCTGGTGACCGGATGTGGGGGGCGGAGGCGAGGCTCCATGTGGAGGCCGAGATGAGTGCCACCCCTAGTGCCAGGCCCTGGGGGCCTGGTTGCTGACCAGCCACCCGGAGCAGGGCCACTGTTGCCTGCTGGTCCCTGGGGGTTCAGCTGTCCTGTGGGGGCCCCGCCGCCCTCCAGGCCGGCGTCACGCAGATGGCCAGTGGGGTCCTGGCTGGCCGGGTGGCTGAGGTGCCAGGGCACTGTGACCTGTGGTAACACAGTTGATTCTCAGGACCTCAAAGGGCTGACAGCTTTGTTATTCTATGTTCTCACCGGAGACAGAAACAGTGAGAAAGAAAGTGAGAGATCACTCCCCGGGGGGGTGGCCACATTCTCTTGGGACTTTGGGCATGCGCACACACGCACCTGGCTTAATTTTTTAAGCCACCAGATCTGGGACTCAAACCATGGTCAGCCATAAAGGAGTCCAGCATCTTAGCCACTACGCCACCTGCTGGCCTAGAACTGCCGCCTTTTTTCAAAGCCACAGCGCTGACTTCTCAGGGAATCTAGGCGGCACCCCAGTTTGTTACCAGAGAGGGCTGCTGGGTGGGCTGAGTCTGGGGCCCCAGGAGGCCCATGGAAATGCTCTTCCATTCCCATGAGAGGGTGCACATGTGACTCTGAGGGCCCACTTGGGCACAGGGTGCCTGCACTGGGTTCTACAGTGGGGTGGAGGGGCCTTGGGCAGGGGCCTGTGCCTCTCTGAGCTGTCCCTTGGTCAGAGGGATGCCGCGAGGCCCATGTCATGGCAGCGTGGTTAGGACCCAGCGGGGTGCTATGAACACAGTCGGGTCAGGGCCTGGCCCAGCAGAAAGGTAGTGGCCGGCTGGTGTGTACCCAGGCTGTGTGGGGGTCCTGGGCACTTCCTGCCCCCTTGGTTTCCACAAGTTGTCACTTTCTCCCCATTATTCTGTTGTGAAACTTGCAAATACTCACGGAAGTCGAAGGATGATTACAGTAGACACGCACCTCCTCGTCCCCACCTTCCTCTTCTCGCGGGCCTGTACGGCGTCACCTTCCCAGCCTTACACAGTAGTGTGCACCCCCAGGTGCCCTGTCCGGGCTCAGTGTTCGCATAGCTTTCCTACAGCACAGCAAGACACCCTGAGTGTGCACTTGCTGAGCTTCCACAAACGTCGGCACTAGTCAGGCCCCTCCCCCCTTATCCACACATAGAACGTTCCCCTGAGAGCTCAAGGCCTGGGACTGAGACAGCCAGATCCCTCCTGGCCGACGGTGCAGTGCGAGTCCTGGACCTGGCAGCTTGAAAAACACTGGGTACATGTGCGTGTGCCCCCAAACTCCCTACTGGAGGGTGAGATGGAGAGAAGGGATGACCATTGCCGGGGGGTTCTTTTTCCCTTTATTGCTTTCTCCAGCAAGCGCATGCACCCTCTGCAAAGGGGCCAGACCATGGCGTGGTGGTTAAGGCAGCTGGATCTCACATGGCCGACTCTGCGGTTTGAGTGCTGGACCTGGTGGCTTGGAGGGAGGGGAAGCAAACTCCCTGGGCATGTATATGTGCCCAAAGTTCAGAAGGGAGAGAAATGAGAAGGAGATTGCAGTGTGACCGTGGGCTGCTTTTTCACTTTTTGTCTCCGGGCTCTCTGGCAAATAACAAAAAGACAGGACACTACCTATGGCCTAGAAGGTTCTCGCGTGACAATATGTGTTTTTCTAAGCTTGAACTCTGACCCTCATCCTCCTACAGGGGGTCTGCTGGGTGCAGGGGCAGAGCCAGGCTGGAGTCCCAGCGGTGGGGCCAGTTCCCAGCTGGTGCCTGGCTCGCCTGTCCCCGGGGCTCAGGAATGGGGCTACAGCTTCGCCTCTCGCTCCCGCCAGGTCAAACATCAAGCCGGACAAAGCCAATGCCAACCACCACAGCTTCCAGATGTACACGTTCGATAAGACCACCAACTGCAGGGCCTGCAGGATGTTCCTCAGGTGGCCCACCAGCCCGCCTTCCCCAGGCCCAGAGGGTGCTCGGTGCCCGTGTTGCCCTCTCGGACCTGCCTCTTGGTGCCTGCAAGGCCCAGGGACCGGGGGCGTATCCCACAAGTCAGACCCAGCCCAAACCCTTGGTGTATAGGGTTGACCGGGAGGTGGTTCCTGGGGGCCCAGGGCCACTGTGCGGGCGGTCTGTGGGAACAGGGTACCTGCACTGGGTTCTGCAGGTGGGGGATGTGGGAGGGGAGAGCTGCACCCGGTTGCCCTGGAAGAAGAGGTCCTGGGGGGGTCCCTGTGGATGGAGCTCTGTGGACTGACACCAGACAGGTGCAGCCTCAGCCTCAACCCACCCTCTCTGCACAGGGGCACCTTCTACCAGGGCTACCTGTGCACCAGGTGTGGTGTCGGGGCACACAAGGAGTGTCTGGAGGTGCTGCCCCCCTGCAAGAGCAGTGAGTACCCACCCCACACCACCATGCTGCTCCCAGTGCCTGAGGGTTGGTCTTCGGGCCCTGTCCGTGCCCCAGGGGAGGGTCCCCACCCCATGCCCATCCTTCACCACCCTCCCCGTACCGAGCCTTGTGCGCATGCACACTCTCACGCCACACTCACACACATGCACACACATGCTCGTGCACACACGCACTCTAAGATGCATGCATACTCTTACATGCACATACACATGCACACACACACACAGCCTCACACATGCATACACACTCACATGTGCACGCGCACACACACATACACAGGCATGTGCATACTCACACACATGCGCACTCTCTCACACACACAGCGTTCACATTGCCCCTGCTTGTGCCCGTTTGTCAGATGGGGAAGCTGAGGCTCAAGGAGGAAGAGGTTTGACCGGGCCGGCAGAGGGCAGAGGCAGGGATGGGGCCTGGCCCCCAGGCTCCTCTGAGCGTCTTAGTTCGGGGATGTTTGGGATTTGCAGGGAGGTGCCCAGCTCGAGGCAGCCGGGAGCCCGCAATGGTGCCGAGAAGCTCTGGGGTTTGCCTTGTGCTCAGGCAGTGGCACCCAGGCTTCCTCCTGAAGGCACACAGACTGCTGGGAGCACGGCCATGGGGCAGCCACTGTGCAGGCTGGGGCCCCAGGGGTGCCTGGCTCGCCTGTCCCCGGGGCTCAGGAATGGGGCTACAGCTTCGCCTCTCGCTCCCGCCAGGTCAAACATCAAGCCGGACAAAGCCAATGCCAACCACCACAGCTTCCAGATGTACACGTTCGATAAGACCACCAACTGCAGGGCCTGCAGGATGTTCCTCAGGTGGCCCACCAGCCCGCCTTCCCCAGGCCCAGAGGGTGCTCGGTGCCCGTGTTGCCCTCTCGGACCTGCCTCTTGGTGCCTGCAAGGCCCAGGGACCGGGGGCGTATCCCACAAGTCAGACCCAGCCCAAACCCTTGGTGTATAGGGTTGACCGGGAGGTGGTTCCTGGGGGCCCAGGGCCACTGTGCGGGCGGTCTGTGGGAACAGGGTACCTGCACTGGGTTCTGCAGGTGGGGGATGTGGGAGGGGAGAGCTGCACCCGGTTGCCCTGGAAGAAGAGGTCCTGGGGGGGTCCCTGTGGATGGAGCTCTGTGGACTGACACCAGACAGGTGCAGCCTCAGCCTCAACCCACCCTCTCTGCACAGGGGCACCTTCTACCAGGGCTACCTGTGCACCAGGTGTGGTGTCGGGGCACACAAGGAGTGTCTGGAGGTGCTGCCCCCCTGCAAGAGCAGTGAGTACCCACCCCACACCACCATGCTGCTCCCAGTGCCTGAGGGTTGGTCTTCGGGCCCTGTCCGTGCCCCAGGGGAGGGTCCCCACCCCATGCCCATCCTTCACCACCCTCCCCGTACCGAGCCTTGTGCGCATGCACACTCTCACGCCACACTCACACACATGCACACACATGCTCGTGCACACACGCACTCTAAGATGCATGCATACTCTTACATGCACATACACATGCACACACACACACAGCCTCACACATGCATACACACTCACATGTGCACGCGCACACACACATACACAGGCATGTGCATACTCACACACATGCGCACTCTCTCACACACACAGCGTTCACATTGCCCCTGCTTGTGCCCGTTTGTCAGATGGGGAAGCTGAGGCTCAAGGAGGAAGAGGTTTGACCGGGCCGGCAGAGGGCAGAGGCAGGGATGGGGCCTGGCCCCCAGGCTCCTCTGAGCGTCTTAGTTCGGGGATGTTTGGGATTTGCAGGGAGGTGCCCAGCTCGAGGCAGCCGGGAGCCCGCAATGGTGCCGAGAAGCTCTGGGGTTTGCCTTGTGCTCAGGCAGTGGCACCCAGGCTTCCTCCTGAAGGCACACAGACTGCTGGGAGCACGGCCATGGGGCAGCCACTGTGCAGGCTGGGCACCCGGGGACGGTGCTGTGGCGCACTGTGGTCCACGTGGATTCTGGCTCCGAAAGGGCGTCATCCCTAAGTCTCAGAAACCCTCCTGGGCTGGAACGGCGTGTCTGAACACCCGGTGGCGAGTCCTCTCTGCAGCCAGGGTCCCGTGATCTCAGCCCGTGTCTCGGCCTCCTGACTCATCGGGCCTCCCAGGAGTATCTCAAGACAAAAATAGGTCAGGGGCCAGCAGCAGATGGAGGCGCAATGGTTATTTCTCTGGCCTCGCATGTAGTCAACCACTGTTCAAGTCCCAGACCTGGCGGCTTAAAGCTCACGCCAGGCGCCTGTGCGTGCATGCCCAAGATTCCAAGAAGAGAATGGAGAAGGGATTGTGGTGTGGTCATTTCCCCTGGGGGTGATTTCTCACTTTCTGTCTCTCTTTCTCTGTTTCTCCGGTGAGTGCCCTATAGCAAAAACCTCTCTCAAAAAAAGAAAGAAAGAAAAATGAAAAGGTCAGGCCAGCTCGTCACCCTGAGCCACCACCCAGAACACACATGGACTGTGACTTACCTCAGTGGGTGATTTGTCACCTCCTGGGAGTCTGGCCCAGCGCCCTGACCCAGGAGGTCAACAAGCCAGCCCAGACCCCGGCTAAGCAGCCATTGGAAGCCGGCCTCCTTCAGAGACCACTGGCTTTGTGGCTCTGTCCCTTTAGACTGCCCTCTGTGGCCACAGGTCCTCATGCCAGGTGGCTGGCCACCGTCACTGTCCACTTTTCATTGTCTGATTCTAAAAGTGGCGTACTTAATTATAAAAACTCTGGAGGGGGGGAAGCAGAAACGAAGAGGAATAAGCCTTATCATGAACTCATCTGCAGGTAGCGAAAGGCCACACTTGAATATCTCCTTCCAGACTCTCTTTTCTAAAACAGTGTTTCTGCCCTCCCCCCATCAAATACTGCCCGTAAGGAACGTGGAGAACAGAGCAGGGCAAAGGAGAGGGGAGCGGCTTCCTCCCCCCCGGAGGGGGGGAAGCAGAAACGAAGAGGAATAAGCCTTATCATGAACTCATCTGCAGGTAGCGAAAGGCCACACTTGAATATCTCCTTCCAGACTCTCTTTTCTAAAACAGTGTTTCTGCCCTCCCCCCATCAAATACTGCCCGTAAGGAACGTGGAGAACAGAGCAGGGCAAAGGAGAGGGGAGCGGCTTCCTCCCCCCCGAGAGGTCGCTGCATTCCGGGACTGGTGACTCCCCTGAAGGCTCCCTTCCTCTTCTGTCTCAGCCACTGCCAGCCGTCCCCCCGAGGGGTGTCCACGGGCCCACTCAGCCCCCATGTCTGGGCTGTGGTGTGCCCGAGATGCCTGCCCCTCCCCGCCCAGCAGCCCCTGTCCCCAGGGTCTGTCAGACACACGAGGATGACGGGGCGGTCTGCAGTGTGCGTGGAGAGTGGTGGTATGGTCACGTGGGCCGTGTACTGTTGAAGTCTTTGCTTTACTGGGGTGGGCAGTGGCAGCCCAGCTCGGCAGGTGGCTGGGGCGGGGCAAGGCTGCTTGGACTGTCTGCCCCTCATCGGGCAAGCTGCGGCGCCCCCGTCCTTCAGCACTGGCCCTGTGTGTCTAGGACGAGTGCGGCAGACAGGGAGCATGTGCACCATGTCCCCCCCCCGCCACTGCAGGCGTCACTAATCAACTGCGGAACTCACTCACCCCTTCAAGCCCCAGGCCAGTCAGGGATGAGGCAGCTGCAGCCGTTCCTAGCTGGCTCGGGCAGGAAGGAGAGCCTCTTCACTGTCTAGTCTGCGTTCTCCCGGGGGCCCCTAAATCCAGAGCTCAGAATTTGCTGTCTGCCGTCAGCCGTGAGCTCCAGCCTGCATATTGTCGATCTGTGGCTGAGTGGAACGCGCTGATGTCTGCCTCACTGACGTTCAAGCCAGCCAGCCCTGGGGTGCGAGAGGTGTGTGAGTGAGGAGCCTTGTGTGGGAGCTCCCCCTGACCCCTGCTGTGCTTCCTTTCCAGGTTCCCCTGCAGACATGGTGAGTCGTTCTGGGGGACCCCCTGCCCTCTGCCCCACCCCACGTGCCTGAGCTAGAAGGATCCCGTAGTCTGCCTCTTGCCACTGCTGGGGCCATGCTGACGGGGAGGCCACTGCTGATCATGAGGGCCCAGTGGTCCTTTGTGGGCATTGGTAGGAATGGTCTCATGTGTGGCCTTCTGGGACGCGATGCTGTCCTCCTCTCCTGTTGTCCCACCCTGCTTATCCAGAGTCTTACTGCATCTTGGCTGGGCTTGGGGACATGCACTGCCCACCTGCCCCAGCCCCTGCTTGCCTCAGAGCTCTCTGTTTAGCTGGCAGGGAGTGAAGCCACTGGGTTCACACACAGGGTATGCGCTTCGTGTCTGCTGTGAGCTGTGGGGTCCAGTTATGTAACTAGCACTTGAGGGGTGCTTACCAGGCCCTGTGTGGAGGAGAGGGGATACACAACAGTGGTTGTACTCAGCAGGGTGTGTCCCAGACAAATGGCAACCCAGACTCAGGGTAGTCAGGGTGGACTTCCTGGAGGAAGTGGTAAGGGATGGGTGAGGGAAATGCGTGGTCTTCTGGGGTGGGGATGTGCACAGAGGTGGGGGTACATAGTGTATGGGGGAGTGTCACATAGGGAAGCAGAGCCACAGCAGCTTGCAGACACGTGTCCAGGACACGTCCCTGGCCCTCCCTGGACCCTGCTGTCTGGGAATGCTCAGGGCCAAAGGTCAAGGAGCAGCCCTCCCCCCTCACTGTGTCCTTGTCCTCACAGGACTCTTCCGGAGCGGGACCAGGTGAGTCTACAGTCTGCTGGGTCCAGCCGGGCCAGGCTGTTGGCATTTAATCAGGGGGTGGGGGCCAGAAAGATCATTTCAAAAACAAAGCTTCTGCCCCACTGTTCTCTGCTCTGGCTGCAGGGCACGGCCACCCTTGGGCTCCATCTCCCCACACCCGTGGGGCAGAGCCTGACTTGCAGGGGTCGGAGTCCTTCTAGCCCTGGGAGTGGCATGGCCGCAGCCCAGGAGCCCTGAACAGAGCAGGCATGGAGACGCCCCTCGAGTGTCCCCTACCTCCAGTGCTCGCTCCCCGGGGTCAGTGTCGGAGTGTGGCTTAGGGACAGAGGCCTGTAGGCTCACGTCCCGGGAGTCTGGCTGCCTCCTGGCCTCCTGGGGAAGAGCAGAAAGGATGTTGGGGGGGCCTGGCGAGACCCCACTGGGTCCCGACGAGGCTGGCCCAAGAGCTGCCTGCACCTTCTGTGGGCTCAGCCGGACCCCACTTTAGCCCTGACCAGCCCTGGGCCTCCCGAGCCCTGTCCCCACCCGTGATCAGACTCGGGAGGTGCTGGGAAGAGAGCACCTGAAATGCCAGCCCCAAATAAGACGCTGCCCGGTGGCGCTGGCTGCCTGCGTGTCACGGAGTGATCTGTGTACTGGCTAACGAGAGGACGCGGCGCCCTCCGGGAGGACTGAGGGTGCAATACGGCCCAGGCGTCTGTCGGGGGTGGTCTCTTCCCCAGAGGGGCCTCCCCAAGGCCGGACAGGTGGGTGCCTGCCAGGACAGTCACCAAGCCACCCGCCCCTCCACCCTGCCCTCCATAGGTCCCAAGATGGTGGCTGTGCAGAATTACCATGGCAACCCAGCTCCCCCTGGGAAGCCTGTGCTGACCTTCCAGACGGGTGACGTGATCGAGCTGCTGAGGGGCGACCCTGAGTCCCAGTGGTGGGAGGTGGGTCTGGGGCCCTGCGAGGTCAGGGTGAGGGAGGGCTGCTCAGCTGGCCCTGGGCCTCTGCTCTAGCCACGCCTGCCCTGGCGTGGTAAGGGATGGATGGGGGCCCTGGCCAGTCCTCCTCGCCGTTTGCTTTTACGTGGGGGGAGTGCTGCGTCCTTGCATGGAGAGGCCATGTGGGTGCCCAGGCCCTTCCCCGTCTGCCTCCAGCCTTGACCCCGCGTCCCACAGGCACTCCTGAACTCGTGCACTGCCACGCTGGGCACCCCCTGCCCTACGCCTGCCTCCGCCCGGCTGGCAGCCCTTCAGGATCGTGGGTGCCCAGGCGCCACTCGACACGGACAGCCGTGGTTCACAGCGATCCACCGCCTGCCCGAGAGACCCCGTGGGTGGAGGGAGACACACGTAGCCACGGGCCAGCCTGCCGTGGTTTGCAGGCTGCACCAGGATGTCCATGTGCTCTCACTCACAGAGGTGGCACCTTCAGCGGGGTCCTCCTGCTCTCAGCCAAGCCCCAGTTATGTTTAGGGAGCCCCGAGCCCCCGGGGCAGCTTCTCGGGGAGCTGGCCTTGGGCAGCGTTCGCGTCTCCTCCACGGCAGCCGCTGTCTTGTGGGCGGCGTTCGCGCCCCCCCCCCGGCAGCCGCTGTCTTGTCACGGCCACCCTCCTCACACGTTCAGTTACCAATTTGTTCAACCAGGACACGCTTCGTGTAGTCGGAGAGTCAGGGTGGCCAACTGTACAGTGCGACCTGCTCTGTCCCCCAGCTGTCCCTCCCCGCATGACCAGGGCCACTGCTGCCTCGGGTGGTCCCGCGGGGACTCTTGGCTGACATGCGGGGTAGGTCACAGTGCCCCCATGTGTAAAGTGGGAACACGGCACCTCGTGCCCCAAACAGCGGCAAGGTCGCCTGAGACTACAGCAGCGGTGGAGTCACCATGGTGCCCTCCTCAGGAACGGGGTGGTGTAAGCTCGGGGCATGGGAGCACCTGCCTACTCCGTCCACACCCCGTCCACCTCCTTCCAGGGCCGGCTGGCGCAGACCAGGAAGCTGGGTTACTTCCCTAGTTCATCTGTGAAGCCCTGCCCTGTGGACGGAAGGGTGAGTCTTTCCCACAGAAGTTTCCAGAACACAGTGGCCAGGGCGCCGAGGGCTCGGGCTGTCTCCTCTCCTGGACGTCCTTGATCAGTGGCTGCTGGGAGCCGCCTCCCGGAGCGCAGAGCCCACAGCCTCCCTGCAGAGTTCAGGGACTCTGATTTCAAACCAGCTCGCAGCCTGGGGAGGGCACCCCGGACAGAAGGAGCCAAAGCCAGACGTCGTGACATGTCGAGAAAAAGGCTGAGTGGCGTTTGTCATCTGAGGCTGTGGAGGGACTTCCGGCCGTTACAAAAGGCCGCAGAAAGCCAGTGTGAATAAATCGACCCTCGCAGCCCCACAACAGCAGCCGGGGGTGGGGGTGGGGTGGAGCTTCCCCAGGACGCATAGGACGTGCGGGCAACCTGGGCTCTGGGCAGGCCGAGCGGCTGGACAGCTCAGGATGAGTGGCCGTTCCCTGGGCCGCCTGGGCAGATTCTGTCCCTGCTCAGTTTCTACTCTGCAAAGGGGGTGGGAGGACCCTAGACCAGTGAGGCCAGGATGGGAAGCCCCCACTGCCTGAGCGCCCTGCCCTGGGCCTGGGCCTGGTCCCTGGGGCCTTGTCTGCCTGCTGCTGCCCTCTTTCCCCTTCCAGAGGCAAAGGGCCTGGTGGCCACTCCATAGAGTCAGTCTGGTCTCTGAGCATCTGCTGGGAGGGACGGGTCCCAGCCCCTGGCCTGGGGACCCTGCAGACCA